AAAACTATAAAAAGACACGGACGGTAGCAACCTCATAGCAATCGAAACTCTTGTAAAAATATACTCTTATACGGTATTACGGTTGTTAGGTCATAATGACATGAAACAACTTGTAATATTAATATGTACTTTTTTTTTTTTTTTAGTTTCTAAAATTGAACTTCTATAAAATATACTATATATATATAATTTCGTATTCAAAATAAATAAAACAATTGTACATTTTAAAATTTTACTTATTATAAATATATCTATATATGGATTGTTACGTAATTATATAATAGAAGTATCGTGCATCTAAAACTTATATTATTTAAAGAAAATATTTTATACCTGTGTTGTATTCCCGTGCCAAATTATTTATGTTAAAATTTTTGAAATATTTTAAAAATACAAGTAATTATAAATTAAAAAAAAGGGTAGATATGTTTTGATTTTTTTTTTCAAAATTACATTATTAGTATTATTTGTATAGTGTATAAAATTATTTACAATTTTTTTAATAAAGCTTAGTATAATAAAACAATATTTTATATAAAATTAATAGAATTCTAATAATGTATAACCAAGTCGAATGGGTAGTAATGCACAGTTTATTTTGACTTTATTATAGATATTAAAAAATGATAAACTATATATTAAAATTATTTTAAACAATTTTTAAATTTTGACCGTTAGATCCAGATAATGTTGTAAATTAAAAAAAAAAAAATTGAGAGCGTGAGATGTACTCACCGTATGAGAGAGTACGTCTACCGTCAACTTTCTGACCAAAATGCTGAAGCCAACTCAACTATATGATGATAAAAGATGGATTGATAGATTCGTAGATTGAGCAAATGCCATCATGCTTGACGTCATCAGCCTTGTAAATAATACTAAACAAATCTTAATCAAGCTTAATTAAACATAAGCTGATAATTAACTAACTTTAATTATCCACTGATTGCTCTCGCTCCGTATTATTTATTAAAACATTTTAAAAATAGAAAAAAAGAGTGTGTACTACGTGGGGACCACCCGTCACGTCATATCTCACCAGACGAATTTCACCACGGGATCGGCCTGCTCTGTTTTCTCTATGGGTAATTTTTTAAAAAAAAATTTATATAAATTAAGAAGTAAATTTTAATTGGTTGGACTGAAAATTGACCAATAATATTTAATTATTTTAAAAATTAAATTATAATATAAAGTAAATTTGAATATTAAATGAAGGAGCGGATTCGTAGGGCGGATAAGACTTATTTTCTTTTTGTTATTTTTTTTTTAAAAATAAAATTGAAAATTAGGTGGGAAAAACAAACCTTCCAATAATGGAAGTGGACGAGGCAAAAAATGTCCGATGACGATGAAGTTGCTTTCCCCAACTGGAAACAGTAGCCTAAAACCCCCCCCTCTGCCGGGCCCCATCCACTTTTGTTGTCTTCCATTTTAATTATTACGACATATTTAAACACACGTAAATATATTATTTTACAAAAATTAAAATGTCATTAACTTATAAAATACAAATTGATCCTCATTATGTTAATTAAGTATGTATTTAATTTTCTTAATCATACGGTAATCCATCAAAGTTAATTTTTAAGCGAAGGGATATTAACTTGTCGAATTGCAAACTACACACATATATATATATATATATATATATGTATGAACATATTTATTATTAATCAATGGTTGGGGTTGATTCGTAATTATATTAAATTCTAAAGTTTGGGTAAAGTAGCTGTCGATCGGGACCACTTTGTATAAACTATGAATATAAAAATATGTGGACTTCAATAAATGTCACCACGATAACATAAACTTTATTCTTAATCAAATTGAGTTGCCATTTAGGGTTCGCACTTTGACCTATTGATAATGTTGTTTGGATAAGTGATCCTTCAATTTATAATTACGGAAACAAAAATAGTCCGTTACCTATTTAATATATAAATTAAGATAATAATTAAATAAATTAGAGAATACATAAAAAGTCTTCAATCTTTATGTAGGAAGTCGGGTCGCTTAACTCATACGAATAATTCAAATACACCTGAATTTTAGGTGAATATATATATATATATATATTAAAATAGATAAACCCAAAAAAATTATAACAATCAATGTTCTTTATAAATTATTTAGTTAGACTTTTAATAATATACATATAATAAGATCACTAGTCTAGTGTTAGGCTTAATCTTTAAATTAAAGAACAAGAAGTTCGAGTAGTTATCCGTAGTTAAAAAGTTTTGGACTAAACACATAAAATCATTATACTATATATATCTATATATATGTATGTATTCACATCATTATAATATGCTTTGGAATAATAATTGATGTTATTATATAGCATGTTACAATTAATAGCTTGATGGATCAAGGCCATTAATTTGTAATCATAAATAGAATAACTAGTTAGGTGATTATAAAAGCAGTTCAATATATATATATATAATTATAATTTGGCTCATATATATATATATATATTTTAACATTTAATTTTGTTATATTCTTTATAAAAAAATTTAAAATAATTAGTTCGTATTTAAACTTGATAATTTACTTTTTAAAATATTCAACCAATATTTTCTAGCTAGTTGACTTATGGAAAGTTAAATAGGACGGTCTATAATAAACTCATGTATAAAAACGTGTTTGTACTAAATTCATTGAGTGTCTGTCTATATACACACACACACACACACACACACACACGAACATATATTTATATATGTATATGTATGTATGTGTGTATATATGTATATATATGTGTATGTGCATATCTTGTAACAATTAATAATTAAAATTCACGTGAAGTATGAGGTTAATTAATTAATTGAATAAATAGAAAACTAAGGTTGTCTGGAATCGAAAATTTTAACTTGTTGTCTGAACTTACAACTTTATAATAAGTATTCGTTGGTTCATTTCTTAAAAAA